TAACAGACCGGTCGTCACTATGCTAGCAGTGCAGCTGCGCATAGTTGTCTGAGCTATCGATCTGAGTTCAAATTTCAGTGATCGAGGTAAAACGCTGAGGCAATTGAGAAGGTATAATAGACGTTTTTTTTTGTGTGTGTGTGTCACAGTATACTAAGCCGAACAGTTTCTCATTTTAATCCGCGAGTTCTGTGCACATACTTGCACGCTGGAAAGGTACACGAATGGTCGGAAGCCATGAGAAATCAAATAAAAGCGTGTGCAGATTAAAATGTGCATGAAGTTTACTGGCTGTACACTTGACGTTCGGCTGGCGTTTCGGAGGTTGTCTTCACAACTGGTGAATTTCAGAAAAAAACAACTGCGTGTTTCAAACAAACCGGTAGCCGCGCGAATATTCACCTTTCAACGCCGAAAGGCTGCCTCGGTACAGCTATAGACCCCTCTTTGGGCATGGGTAAATACGGCTGACCCCTGTTATGCCAGCGAGTCCTCGTCAAACGACCGTGCCTCTGAAAAAGGCAATCTGGGTCAAGGCCAGCCCGCCGTCTGCCCGACGCGAACATCTCAACGGCGTGAACACGCGCGGCGCCTCTCTCGCCCACGTGCATTGAGTCATCGGCGCACGTGACAGCGAGCCAGCGTTCTCGTGCCTGGTGGTCTGACGCATGGCGCGGCGACCCCCCATTGGCGGAATCTGCTCGGACGACCCGCGGCGCTTCTGATTGGACACTTTGGTTGGACCCGGTGCAAATAAAAGAAGCCCTGCGGCGCGTCGCGATCGGCGGTCCTATGTGAGAGGCGTCCCCGTGTCGGAGTGCCGACATGTGTGTGAGTCAGCGGTCTTAGGCGAAAGGCTGAACTATGTGTTAGAGAGAAGAGCTCGGCTCTTCGAGTCTCTGTCGGCCCCAGTGCCGAAATTGTAAAGCCTCTGTATATATGCTGTACATAAACCTTGTTTAACTCACCGTCGTCTCGTCCGCTCGTCTTATCAGCTCTGCGCAGAAGCAGTCGCGAGCTGATAAACATACGCTACCAAACGGCTGGTGACCTTCCCGGCGGAGTTGAAAGCAGTGGCGCCTCCGGGACCGCGTCGGCGTCGCCGTCTTTCGCAACAGTGGTGGCTTCGGCGGGATCGGTCCGCCGTTTCTCAACAGTGGTTGGCAGCTGCGGGATCGGCCGGCGTCAGCGACATCGATGCGGTGAGTGCCTGATGTTTTCCCCTCAGTTCACCAGACTACTCTAGCTCAGGTTGTAGTAGTTTAGAGAAGGGCTGTGTGAAGCATTGAAGTGAGCTTTGATCGATTCAAGCCAAGTCGAAGCGCTTTGAAACCAAAGTTAATGCGGAGGGGGTAAACACGGGAGTGTGAAAAATTGCTTGCGCGTCTTGCTAGTAGGCTTATAGTGGGTACGGCAAGTAGATTCTTAACAGGGGCAAACAGCAAGAGGCTAGTGTGAACGATGGAGAACCTTAAAGTGAAGGAACTCATCGAAATTTGTGAGGAACTCGGCATTACTTTGGGCCGTGCGAAACGAAAGCAAGCGATCCTTGATATCATGAAGGATGAGGGAGTGTCGGCTGAGGAAGTCGATGAGGCCTGGGTGGATATTAAAGCACGCCGTGAGGAGGCTGAAAGGCGAGAAGTAGAAGCTCGCGAACGTGAGGAGGCTGAAAGGCGAGAAGCTCGCGAACGTGAAGAAAGGCGAGAAGCTCGCGAACGTGAAGAAGCTGAAAGGCGCGAAGCTCGCGAACGTGAAGAAGCTGAAAGGCGCGAACGTCGCGAGGAGGCCGAGAGACAGGAGCGCCTCGAGATGAAACGAATAGAATTGGCAATCCTACAGTGTTCGCAGGCGCCTAGCGTAGCTTCTCCGACGATTCAGGTCAGCGGTTTTAGAATTCGGGACCAACTGCCACCGTTCGTAGTAGGCGAGGACATGGCGAAGTATCTCGTCAAGTTTGAACACGTCTGTGAGCGAAACGCTTTGGAGCGGCCTCTTTGGGCGCGGAACCTGCTAGCTCTTCTTCCCGGCGAAGTGTCCGACGCGATAACTTGCTTGTCTAGGGAAGCGTTCGAGAGCTATGACGAGGTTAAAGAAGTGCTCTTGAGACGTTATAAGTTGTCACCCGAGGCTTTCAGGCAAAGGTTCCGGTATGCTGAAAAGGGGAATGAGTCACACGTTGACTTCGCGTTTCGTCTTAAAGCCGATTTAATTGAATGGCTCAAGGGCGAAGGTGTTTATGACGACCGCGATAAAGTGGTGGAATGCGTTGCATTGGAGCAATTCTACCGCTGCATCGAGGAGGATGTTAAACTTTGGCTGCAGGACAGACTTGGGGAAGTACAGTTAAATAAGGCAGCTGAGTTAGCTGAGGAGTATTATACTCGCCGAAAGTTGCATAGCAGGGCAGTGCGCGTTGAAAAAGATGAGAGAAAAGAGGGCTTTTCAAGGAAACCTGATCAACGGAAACCCGTTCCGCACCGTAATTTCAAAAAGGACCCATCTCTTACTAAGGACAGTGTAGGGGAAGGGCAAGCAGAAGCGGAGAAATCGAGTGAGGTTTCTACCACACAGGCATTTGAATCGGAAAACAAACGGAAGCCGCTAATCTGCTACAACTGTAAAAAGGAAGGGCACATCGCGAGAAACTGTCAGGAAAAGTTTGCCTTCGCAACGATCCGAGAATCAGAAAAAAACATGCGGTTGCTGGAGCCGTATCTCCAAGAAATTAGGGTCAATGAGAAAACGTGCCGAGCACTTAGAGACTCAGCGGCAACCATGGACGTTGTCCATCCTTCATTGGTGTCTCCGGATGACTTCACAGGAGAATGCGCGTGGATCAGGCAGGTCGCCGAGGAGCAGAGTGTTCGCTTACCAATCGCCACCGTTGTCATTGAAGGCCCGTTCGGTAAGCTTTGCACCGAAGCGGCTGTGTCTGCTGCGCTGAATGGTCGTTTTTCTTATCTTTTCTCCAACAACTCGGAGCAGCTTCTCAAAGAGCAGGGCAAATCGTTCTTCCCCAACTTAGCGTGCATGGCTCCCACGCGATCGCAAGCGCGAAAGCTTTCGCGGAAGCTTGACTTGGTTCCATGCGGTGAACTCTCAAGTGACCTTGTCGGCGGGTCGACGGAACCCCAAAAAGGAAATTTTCCGCATGAGTCATGTGAGCAGTCACGCGAGCGGCCCGTCGCGGGAGCGGCCGGCGCGGTATGCTCTGGGGGAGACGACGTGGCGCCTTTGAGTCAGAGCGAGAGGGATGCAACGCTCTCGCCTGTAGCGGAAAGTTGGAGCGAGCTGCCGAGAGTTGATCGAGAGACGCTCATTCGAGGGCAGAGTGAGGATCTCTCGATTGAAGCGCTAGTGGAAAGCCAAATTGAAGCGCTCGTGGAAAGCCAGAAAAACGCGGCAAAAGTGCTGTCGAAGGAGCACTACGAGAAATCGGGGAAGAAGCGCGCTTTTGAAGTTGATAATCAGGTAATGCGGCTGCAGCCACCCAAAAGGAACAAGCTTGAGGTTGATTGGGAAGGGCCCGTCAAAGTATTATCGAAGCCTTGCGATACAAATTATGAAGTGAAATTAGGAAGGCGGCCGGACAAAATTTACAACTTGATGAAACCATACGTTCAACATCAAGCGATCGTAAATCTGTTGTTGAATGCTTCAGAGGAAGAGGAAGCAGAAAGTTTGAGTTCTAGTGAGGTAATCGAAGGGGGATCGAAAGTAATCCGGGAGCAGATAAACCTAGAGCCTAGCTTAAGTGAAGGAGGACCTGAGAAAGAGGACCTGAGAAAGATTGGTTCCGAGTTTGAAGACGTGTTTTCGGACTGCCCCGGAAACATGAGGGTGATCGAACACGATATCGAGCTAAGCGGTGAGGAGTCAATCAGTAGCAAGCCGTATCGTTGTTCCCCTGTGCAACGTCGCAAGTGTGAGCCGCTCTTGGTGCCGCATAGGTATCGTCGCCTAAAAGTGGCCGGTTACTGAGGTGGAGCATGTTGCTCCACAGCGCAACTTTGACGTTCGCTAAAGAAAAAAAAAAGGGAAAGGTAAACGCTAATGCAGGTGCATTGAGCAGTGCGTTCCAGCTAGTAACTTCTCAACCTTTCGGTTTCTGGCTGGCGATTCGGGGCAAAATTTTGACCTCATCACGACCTGGGCTGAGCGCTCTCGTTCAGAGTGATCTCAAGGGGCCAACTTTATGTGGTATTCTAATCCGTTACGTTGTTGTACGTGAAAAAAAAAAATTGAGTTGTCATTTTAGGGGTCTTTTGTCCCACATGTGCCTCTTGATGTAGAGGGAACAAAATTCCGATAGACACGTAGATAGGTATATGTTGTACTATACTTTGTCTGGTGTTCTGTCGGGTGACCGAGGGCACTTGCTTGTGTCGTGTGTTGTCTGTTGTCGAACCGTTCTTAGCAAGTTGCAGAACCATCGACAAGTGCTGAACCCGAAGATGGTCAGAAGAGACGAGTGAAGCTGGTCAGCAAGTTGTGGCGACAAGCCAGTGGGGCTGGGATCCGTCGTCAAAATGGGATGTGTTCCCGGAACAGTCTGGAGCTGTAGTCTCCCCATGGCCCTGGAGGCGAACCTGGAGGGACCAGGCGAACGAGCGCACCTGACATCCGAGCCCCGTGGAAGCAGCTCGTCTTTCCGGTGCATTGTCTGGCGGCGGGGGTGCTGTTATGCCAGCGAGTCCTCGTCAAACGACCGTGCCTCTGAAAAAGGCAATCTGGGTCAAGGCCAGCCCGCCGTCTGCCCGACGCGAACATCTCAACGGCGTGAACACGCGCGGCGCCTCTCTCGCCCACGTGCATTGAGTCATCGGCGCACGTGACAGCGAGCCAGCGTTCTCGTGCCTGGTGGTCTGACGCATGGCGCGGCGACCCCCCATTGGCGGAATCTGCTCGGACGACCCGCGGCGCTTCTGATTGGACACTTTGGTTGGACCCGGTGCAAATAAAAGAAGCCCTGCGGCGCGTCGCGATCGGCGGTCCTATGTGAGAGGCGTCCCCGTGTCGGAGTGCCGACATGTGTGTGAGTCAGCGGTCTTAGGCGAAAGGCTGAACTATGTGTTAGAGAGAAGAGCTCGGCTCTTCGAGTCTCTGTCGGCCCCAGTGCCGAAATTGTAAAGCCTCTGTATATATGCTGTACATAAACCTTGTTTAACTCACCGTCGTCTCGTCCGCTCGTCTTATCAGCTCTGCGCAGAAGCAGTCGCGAGCTGATAACATACGCTACCAAACGGCTGGTGACCTTCCCGGCGGAGTTGAAAGCAGTGGCGCCTCCGGGACCGCGTCGGCGTCGCCGTCTTTCGCAACAGTGGTGGCTTCGGCGGGATCGGTCCGCCGTTTCTCAACACCCCCCAGAAAATTCATTGCTGTGTCGTCCGCGTTCATCAGCCTTTATATACTCCGTTTTTTATTTATTTATTTATTTAACATACCTTACAGGCTCTCGTTAGAGCATAGGGTATAGGGGGGCTTACAGATAAAAAAGAAAAATGAGAACGTATACAGTTCAAATATACAAATAAATGCAACATAACAGCGACACTAATAACAGTAACAGAACAAAAAAAAATACAGTCACCAAGTATATGCACCTCCGTACAAATGTCTATGAAATGATGCTTCATAAAGGAAAGCACTTCATCTTTTTTTATACAAAGAAGTGGAAATTACAAGGGCTTGTTTTTGCTTTGTTAGGCATAATATAGTATATAATATAATGAACTCACAAAGCACTTCTATCGGGAAGAAGAGTATTAATTCCGCCAAAAAGCTCACGAAACCACATGTCGATGACCCTTAGGATGCTACCAACTAATTCTTATCCAAACCTCGCTTTCGTGCCCTGTCTATTCCCAGGTGACTTCAGTTCGCAGCGCCCTCGCAGCAGCGGGGGAACACATGCTTTGGCGGTGCCGCTCGTTACGTCACAGAGCAGAAATGGAGCTCGGCCCTCAGGAGTTCGGAATATCAGCGTCAACTTTGGGCTGTCCAGAGAGCCTGCGATGCGGCGGTTAGGCTAACTGGGTCCCCACGTGGGAGTGGCACGCAGTGTCGCCCTAGGAGGTGGTACTTCTCCGGGTCTTTGAATAAATTTGTCAATATGGTTGATTGGGCGAGTTGCTGTGACATGATGGTTTTGCAATAGGAGTGCACTACTTAGAGACACGGACAGAAAGACAGGGACCAGTTCTTGTCCCCGTATTTCTGTCCGTGTCTATATAAGTAGAGCGCTCTTATTTCAAAACCTTTAAATAAGGTTCCTCGTATCGAACCGAGGAGGTTTAAAAAAAAATTGCTGGAGTAGAAATCATTGCTTATGAGTGAAGCCGTGCCTATGCCATCTTGCCACATAGGCACGCTTCGCTCCTGGGCAATAATTTCAAATTAATAATAATAATAATAATAATAATAATATAATAATAATAATAATAATAATAATAATAATAATAATAATAAAGTATTAAAATGATATTATTATTATTATTATTATTATTATTATTATTATTATTATTATTATTATTATTATTATTATTATTATTATTATTATTATTATTATTATTATTATTATAAGCAAGCATCATCATCCCACTTTTTAGGTCAGCTTCTACACACAGGCGTAATGTCAAGCAGGAAAGACGCCCCATATGCAGAGAGAAAAGAACGGCAGTCGACGCTATAAGTCTCGATGCCTTAAGTCTACCATGTGATTATGAGACACGATATAAGTGGATTTTAGTGCGCATTAAGTAGGGCCACCTGCGTTTCCGTAACGTGCCCCTCAATATAAGCTCGCGGGAGTCGACCCCGCTTCCTCGAACGTCAACGTTTGTCTTTGAACCCATTTCGTGTGCTTTGCCACCTTTCATGTTTTTCACACGTTAACCCAAGACGGCCATACTGAATTTTTTTTTCACTTCTAATATCCTGGGAATTAAAGGGCCACTTTTCGCACTTGAAGCGCGCGTCTTTCGTCGAACCGTATTGTTAGCAGGCAGGCACCTTTCGTAAACAATGCTTCGGATGACAAGAAAAAATGAAATAAAAATTGTCTTTCTTTTTTCTAAAGAAATAAAATTAATACAATAATTATCGAATAAGTTGCCTTGAAGTTAGTTTCGCTTCCTTTTCTCCTCGATAACAATGACGACGCAGTGGCGTAATGATGACGTAAAGTCATAGTGCACTGGCGACGACTGCAAACCCGTTACTCGGTATAGAAATAGACAGCTTTAGCATCGGTATACTAAGCTTCACGTATGTGCGTCAACCATGGTGGATCAGTGGATAAAGGTGCTCGGCTAATGACTCCAAGGTCGCGGTTTGGATCCTGGTCACGGCGGTCTCATTTCTCTGGAAGCGAAATGCCACCGAACTGCGGCACGGCCCTCGTAATAACATCGTGCTTATTATATTATAATTCACCTATGCATCTAATAAATAACGAACGGGCATGCACACGCCTACAGATATGCGACCTTCAGACAAGCAAGTCGATGTCCGTGCCTTTCACAAACACAAAAGCTTGCTCTGTTGTTCGAAGTGTAAGCATTGTTCGCTGATTCTTGCGGCTTTCGAAGAAAGCCGCGGCCGGCTGCTGCACCTGTCTCGCGTTAGCCGGAACGGAGCTCGGAAACTGGCATAAAATAAAAGTCTCCGACCGCGCGAAGCACAGGACGCAGAGATAGTAGGCTTGAGCACAAGAGGCGGGTGCACTCGAGGCGGAGCTGTCGGGGTGGTGGGGGCTGTTGTTTTTTGTGAGCGCTTTTCGTATAGGGTCATATCTGCGGTATACACTATGAAATATCCAATTGTGGTTTTGACACGTAAACCCCCGAGACCATTCACTCGCCGCGTCTCATCAATTTCCTCAGCCAGTCGCCACCGACGATTTATCTTCAAAAAGCGTTGCGTAACCTTACACCAGCGTTATACGGTATAGCGTTTAAATTTTATCGCTTTACGATCGATCTCCGCTTCGCATTTCAAGTACGTGCGTCGAATCCGGATACATTCGCTTTCGCTCTCAACGGACAAAGAATTCGCAGTCGACCTTCGCGAGTGATTGCGATCAATTACTGGGTGCGAATGCGTCATCGTTAGAAAGGAATTCGTCCTATGCGAGAGCACAGTCTGCAGGAGCGTAACTATACATTCAGCCGCCACACGCTTGCACGCAGACATAAAGAAATAGAGAAATGAACAGGAAGGAAGAAGAAGAAGCGCATTAATATCGGACACAAGAGAAGGTCAACAAGAACAAAACTTCAGACTGTCGCAATGAAGAAAAGCAGATGGCACCGACGTAGGCACCGACCTACACCGATGAGTCAGTACAGTAAGTCACGAAGGTCACATTTCTCAACCGCTTGTGCGCACAAGCGTAACAGTCGCGGCAGGCGTGCGCAGCTGAGCAAATGTATCGACGGGTTCCGAGAGAGGCGTCGCTTATGTCCCGCTCTTCCGTCTTTCACTCTCTACCTCTTACGCTAGCTGAATTTTCTGGCTTTGCGCGCCAACGTGTGAATACGAGTCGCAGTGTAGCGGGGTGCTGTGGCTCAATCTTGACCCCCGGCGTGTATTATAATTATGCTTGTAAACATTAGTAAACGCGGGTGTTTTTGTGCACGCTTCGTAATGAGCCAGCCGTGGTGGGGAATGTTTGAGAATCCCTGCTATATCCGCCAGTGACCGGTGGTAGTTTAAAACGTCCCAAAACCACTATATGATTATGAGAGACGCCGTAGTGGAGGGCTCCGGAAATTTAGACCACCTGGGTTCTTTAACGTGCACCCAAATCCGAGCACCCGGACCCACAACATTTCCGCCTCCATCGGAAATGCAGCCGCCGCAGCCGGGATTCGAGCCCGCGCCCTGCGGGTCAGCAGCCGAGTACCTTAGCCACTAGACTACCGCGGCGGGGCGGTCAGTGCGTAAGGTGCTCGCTAATGACTCCAAGGTCGCGGTTTGGATCCCGGTCACGGCGGTCTCATTTCTCTGGAAGCGAAATGCCACCGAACTGCGGCACGGCCCTCGTAATAACATCGTGCTTATTATATTATAATTCACCTATGCATCTAATAATAACGAACGGGCATGCACACGCCTACAGATATGCGACCTTCAGACAGCAAGTCGATGTCCGTGCCTTTCACAAACACAAAAAGCTTGCTCTGTTGTTCGAAGTGTAAGCATTGTTCGCTGATTCTTGCGGCTTTCGAAGAAAGCCGCGGCCGGCTGCTGCACCTGTCTCGCGTTAGCCGGAACGGAGCTCGGAAACTGGCATAAAATAAAAGTCTCCGACCGCGCGAAGCACAGGACGCAGAGATAGTAGGCTTGAGCACAAGAGGCGGGTGCACTCGAGGCGGAGCTGTCGGGGTGGTGGGGGCTGTTGTTTTGTGAGCGCTTTCGTATAGGGTCATATCTGCGGTATACACTATGAAATATCCAATTGTGGTTTTGACACGTAAACCCCCGAGACCATTCACTCGCCGCGTCTCATCAATTTCCTCAGCAGTCGCCGTCGACGATTATCTTCAAAAAGCGTTGCGTAACCTTATACCAGCGTTATACGGTATAGCGTTTAAATTTTATCGCTTTACGATCGATCTCCGCTTCGCATTTCAAGTACGTGCGTCGAATCCGGATACATTCGCTTTCGCTCTCAACGGACAAAGAATTCGCAGTCGACCTTCGCGAGTGATTGCGATCAATTACTGGGTGCGAATGCGTCATCGTTAGAAAGGAATTCGTCCTATGCGAGAGCACAGTCTGTAGGAGCGTAACTATACATTCAGCCACACGCTTGCACGCAGACATAAAGAAATAGAGAAATGAACAGGAAGGAAGAAGAAGAAGCGCAATTAATATCGGACACAAGAGAAGGTCAACAAGAACAAAAACTTCAGACTGTCGCAATGAAGAAAAGCAGATGGCACCGACGTAGGCACCGACCTACACCGATGAGTCAGTACAGTAAGTCACGAAGGTCACATTTCTCAACCGCTTGTGCGCACAAGCGTAACAGTCGCGGCAGGCGTGCGCAGCTGAGCAAAATGTATCGACGGGGTTCCGAGAGAGGCGTCGCTTATGTCCCGCTCTTCCGTCTTTCACTCTCTACCTCTTACGCTAGCTGAATTTTCTGGCTTTGCGCGCCAACGTGTGAATACGAGTCGCAGTGTAGCGGGGTGCTGTGGCTCAATCTTGACCCCCGGCGTGTATTATAATTATGCTTGTAAACATTAGTAAACGCGGGTGTTTTTGTGCACGCTTCGTAATGAGCCAGCCGTGGTGGGGAAATGTTTGAGAATCCCTGCTATATCCGCCAGTGACCGGTGGTAGTTTAAAACGTACATACCTCTTCTCGCAAACACATTGACGCATAAATGTATACACCATGTTTGACTGCATTCAACCGGTGTAGATATTCCAGTGCGTTGGTAACGCAGGAACGCCCACTGTCAGTGCACGTTATAAAGAACATCAGATGGTTCAAAATACCGGAGCCCACCACCACGGCGTCCCTCGTGGTCATATCGTGGTTTTGGGAAGACTCCGCATATTATTATTCATATACTGGACCGTGGGTACCTTCAGCTGGTCATGCTGGTTGAATATCGCGGCATACCGTCTAATAACCTTTCGTTACATAGGAGGTACAGGAAGGGGGGGGGGGGGGGTTGAGCGGGACCAAACGGAAAAAAAAAGAAAAGTACGCCCCATGTTCCAATGGAGTGAGAGCTGTTTTTTCGTTTTCTTTTTTTTTGCTGGAGTTTCTTTGTAGTCCTCCATGTTTACGCCCCCATTTCTGCCCCCAAGTGAGATAAGTACAAGCCATTAGAAGATAAAAATAAATAGAGAGCACAAAGCAATGCCACAAAAACGCAAGCTGACGTTCACTTAAAGAACTCCCGTTTTCTGAATATGTACAATAATACAATCGCAGCAAAAGGACGCTTCTCAAAAGGCGACTTTATCGCTTCATAAGGCATAACCATAACCGTCTTCTACGCGGAATTACCATAACGCATTCATGCGTCGACGTGCTCAGATCGACTTCGTGATACAAAGGCATTCCAAAGTCCTTGTTGTGTTCCATTAGACAGCTGT